AGCTCCCCTTTTCTTATACACTGACAACGATCCTCATCCCTGGTGAGCCAAAAGCCGTGGAGAGGCCCCACATGGGTAGCCCTCCTGTCCAGGACAGCACAGGCTCAGGAGGGGCTCTGTACTGGAGAGATGCTGAGGTCCAGGGACACTGCTGGGGACAGCCTTTTGACCAGGCTCCTGCAGGGCAGGATGCTTGGTGATGGGAGATCCTGGGGTGGGGTTTGCAGAATGCCCTTTTTGCTGGTGCAGTCACGCTGGGAAGCTGGAGGAGGTGACCTGAGTGCACTGCAGTCACTGAGGACATGGGGACCTCAGGGACACCCCAGTGCCTTCAGTTTTTCAGCTCTTGCAGATTTTGCACCAACCCTTTGGGGCCTAGTCCATGATTTTGGTAGGATGGCTGCTGGGATGTATGTCAGCCCCAGTGCTTCCTTAGGAGCAACTGGGACATGGTCTGCATCTTGGCTACCACAAAAGGCAGTCTCCTTCTTGTCCAAGAACACCATCCAGGGAAGGCCAGGGGCCTTCTAAGCATTTCGTTTTTCCTGTGATGCCAGCCCACCTACCTCACTCAACAAGAAAAAGCGGGGACTTCTCCCCACCCATGGCCCCAACGGCATCCTCACCTTCCTGCTCGGCCGCTCCCCTGCCCCTGCCTCTTGTCCCCCCAGCCCCATTTCAGCCAGAGGAGGGTGGATGAGTGCCCCTGCAGTCCCACCAGCCCTGCTGTGGGGTACCCCTTCTCAACCAGGACCTCAGGGAGCGTGTGGTTGCTCTTACAGCACCATTACCCAGATGGTGTGGCCGGAGCAGGGATCACCGCAGTGGTGTGGGAGCAGGCAGGAGTTGGTGCTGTCACCTCTCTATGTCTCTTCCCAACTTTGTCATCCTGGGGACCTTTTTGTGGATCCCATTTTTATCTGTTTTTTTCTTCTTCTCTCTCTTTCTCTCCTTCTCTCTTTGCTTTCTTCTCTCCCCCTCCCGTCAGTATGTGGGCTGATCACTGCTCAAACTTTTAATTCAGATGGTAATTGGAATAATAATACGGGCAGAATCCTTCTGGCTCCGTTGCTGCAGCTGGCTTCAGGGAGCTATGAATAGCTCTGAGTCACACACTGAGATGGTTTAACTTCAAATCATTTTGTTTTGTTTTCATATTACCCATCCCCAAGCTCCAGAGCTTCACAGGGAGGGGAAAAAAAATCCCCCCTTCTCACTCCACCCCAAAATATAAACCGGGCAGAGGGAAGTTAATAAAATCCTCTTTCAGAGAGACAAACTGGTCAGCAGATCATGCCTCGCGGGCAGATGGGGACTGTTGGCACTTACTCAATCTATTTATAATTATTGAACAAAAAGGCAGAAGTGTGTATATAAAAATGGTAAAGAGTTGATTACAGCTTCCTCCCCTCACCTTCCATATGTCACTTGCCTTTTTAATATGGTAAAACTCTCCCGCACGGTGACTGTGCCTTCGCGTGTGCTCGTACAGCGCCTAGCACCCAGCCCTGCCAGCACGGAGGAGCGACAGCTCGGCCACTGCCTCTCACAGCAAGACTGTCCCGTGGCCCCACGAGCCTCAGCAGAAGTATTTGTGAGGAAGAGGAGAAGACATGGAGTTACAAAGAGGGTGGAAAGGACAAATCGAATGCTGTGGGTCTGCAAAAGCCAAAGGGGTCCCCTCTCTGCAGCGGGTGTTTCCACCCCGACTCCCCAAAAGCCAAGAAGGTGTCTGTGTGTTGTCACCGTGTCCGAGCTAGCAGGATGGGTCTGTGGATGCTGATCTCAAAACCAGGTGATGCTACGCAGATGGTAAGAGGAATAAAGGTACAAAGCACAGCGCAAACAGAGGCTGCGGTATTGACCACAGACAGGAGGGAAGCATTTGCCAGACAACTCTACATAAAGCAAAGACTAAGAGTGTAAAAATACCCTGGGATTTTTCCATCGTCGTCGTTCACGGTGTACATCCCAGAGCACCAGATATGGTTGTTATAAAAAGAGAAGTGGGGGAGTGCTTTAGCGTGGACTTTTCTGTTCTGTTTCATGAGACTCTTCCATCGCAGATGTAAGGAAGGATTGACAATATATGATCTGCTCTGGCAGGGGCTGAAGGAAGCCTGAGATGTGTGAGGCGCTGCACCCTGTACTGGAGATGGAGCGATGGAGACATCACATCGGGGCCACGTGCCATGACATTATTAGCCTGCAGATCCCTCAGGAAACAATGGCAGCAGCCCAGCCCCACACATCTGCATGGGGTTGGAGCAGCACTGAGGTGGTAGTGTGGGGCTGGTGCAATGGCTTGTGCTGCTGGAGTGTGGTGTCACCCGGGAAGGTGGGATAATTGCAGCATGGCGGCAGAATCCTTGGCATTGCTCAATCTAGGGCTGGGAAGGGGAAAGCAATTGGGAAGGAGGGAAGGCCAGTCCAGGCTGCAGGGCTGGAGGTGGATGTTGGTCCCCAGAGACACACCTGGCTGACAGCTTCAATGCTGCAAGACAGCACCTATGATGCCCATGCTGCAGCAGCTTCCCAAAGTGCTGGGGGGCTTCCTCAGGCCGTGAAATAGGTGGGTGTTGATGTATGCTGGGGACAGGGCATCAGAGGGATGCAGAGGCATCCTGCCTAGCATATCCGAGGGCACCCCATTCTACAACCAGTGGTGTGGTTTCATCCCATTCCCCAGGAGTTGGTGCTGACCCCCTGGCTCCCCTCCACATGTGGGTCCCAGGAGGCACAGCAAGCTCCAAGGTCCTCATTCATGCTGCAGGATTTGCATCTCTGTCCTCGACCAGGCTTTCCTCCCCCTCATCTATGTGACAGGCAGCTGCCTCTTCAGGGTCTGAAACCCCCTTTTGCTGGAGGCATCTCTGAGCCTTCCACCTTCATCCCATTGTGTTTCAGGTTTCCAATGGGCAACAGGACCATTCCACAGCCATTTGAACTGAGTTTTGTTCGGGTTTGGCCTCCTGGTACAACCCATGGCCTAGCCAACTGCCAGCATCCATTGTGTAAGCTGGGATGTCAGCAGTGGCCCTGGGCCACCAGCTGCTGAGGAGGGACGGTGGCTACATCACCTTCTGGTGTGGCATCTCCAGGGGGATAACATGACTGCAAGCCCAACGCGATGGTAGTCCCCAGCCCAGGGCTTCTCTCCTGCCTGTCTGCCTTACCCGTGGCGGCACCGCGCGCAGTGGGGGTGTGTTGGGGTGGAAGTGGTAAGCAGGTTTATTTTTGTTCGTCTCCTGGCTCGTGCCGCTCCGCGTTTGTGGTGCCCGGTATTACTAACGCTTCCCTGCGCCAGCTGGCAGCAGGGGATGAATCAGATCGGCAGCACTGTGGTGCAGACCCCTCACCGGACAGCGAGCTTGGGGTGATGGCTCTGGCCAAAGCACTGGTGATGTCTTCTGCTTCTGCCCAGGGTGAGCCCTGGCACCAAAATGTCCTTGGCTTGATCTTGCAGTTTGAGATGCCTCAGGAGCCTGCAGGGCAGGGTTGTCCCCTCTGCCCTCTGCTGCCTGCCCAGGGCCAGCTGGTCTCTGTCCCCCCTGCATGCTGGAGGTCTCAGGTAGCTTCATGAGCTACTTTTTACCCACCGGCAGCATCCCCCAGCTGGAGTCTGGTCTGTGGCCATGAGGACCCAGCTTATCGTCCCACTGCCAAAAAAGGCACTTCTGCAGTTTGGTTCCTCTCCCCCCTGGTCATGACCTCACAGCAGTCACAGGGTGACATCATGTACCTGGTGATTCCTGTTGTCTCCACAGCACACACACAGAGATGCCTGGACCTTCTCTCCGCTCCCTCCCAAACACACTGGTAGGGGGTGGGGAGGGATTTAGGTGTCTGCTTCTTCCCCCATGAGCGCCACTGAGGCTGCAGAAGTTGGCACGCTGCTTGTCAGTGCCACTTGCCTGCGTGGCCCAGGCTCCAGGAGGATAATTTGGATCCTCCTGCTTGCTGCAGCCCAAAGCATCCTGAAAATGTCATGGCTGCTTGACAGCTCGGGCACAACGGAGAGGATCTGCCCAGAATCTCAAGTTTTGGAAGATGATGATGATGACAATGATGAATTGAACTACTCCTGCCACTCTGTGTATCCTCCACCCCAGTCCAAGAACTATGAGAGTGTGAGTGATAATCAGGTGGAAGATCTAGGAGAAGCCATCCCATTTCCCCTAAATTCTAAGCACTCTCACTTGGTGAAAGATGAAGGAGAGAAAAATAGAATATATGCTGAGAAGTTGGCTGAGTATGCACAAGAGCTTGAGGAGGAAGCTCAGGAGTCTCAGACACCATTTTACAAAGACATGGAAGGGCTTGGCAGCTTGTCCGAAGATGAGGAACACAGCTGGGCCTGTCACTTCCCTATGCGTCAAAGGTCACACGTTCTCCGAACTGCAAGTACGGCATCGTGTGGCTCCTATGGCTCTTTCCCGTGTAGCACAGGCAATCACCTGGGGATTGATGCCTTTGCCCTGTGGGCACATGCCAGTGACCCTTATCTGGGGTACCGAGAGTGCACCAAGGGAGCAGAGCCCCACATGCTGTATGAGGAAGCCATCGGGGACAGGCAGTTCCTATTGCTGCAGCTGACCAACGACGTGCTCAGGGAGGAGAACACCATTCTCAGAAAGGTGGTGAAGTCCATGCAGAGCTCCATGAAAAGCCAGGTGTGCATGATACAGAAGCTGGAGAGGCAGCTGAAGGCCAGACTGGACAAAGAGAAGAGGGACGCCCAAGAGCTACAGTCCTTTATCCAGCGGAGTGAGTGGAATCTCCAGCTAATGACCCAGCGGGCTCTGGAGGCAGAAAGCAATGTGGAAAAGCTGAAGCAGAAGATCTATGTTCTCCAGGGAGAGCTGGAGAGCTCCAAGGCAGAGAACAAAAATCTGAAAGCGGGCCAAACAGCCGACCTGGGCACAACGAAGCACAACATAGATTTTGCCTTGCAGAACCTCCACAAGATAATAACAGGAGCAAACTGGTCCATCAAACAGCTCATCTCTGGAGCAGAGTCACTGCATTTTGTTGCTGAGGTCCTTGAATCTACTGGCAAAATTCATGAAGTTTAATCAGAAAAAGAGCCATGAACTCATTGCTGTGTGGGTCCTACAGATGAGTATATGGATCGAGACCATGGGTCTCCCACTACAGCTTATATTAAAACCATTTGCTCTCACGTGCTTGAATGTATGCTCAGATTTGCAGCCTTTATTCTTCATGGAAATACTTTTCTTGTGATTAAATGGCAATTGCAGGTAGGGATGTAGTTTTAGCTCTGTTCTGGCACCGTGGACCCAACAGCAAATGTTTCCCAGGCTCTGAGCTGGAAGATCCAGCTACAGTGGGCTCTGTGCAACAGGCTGTGCCACAGCTCTGGCTGACCTGAGTTCCCGTGTGGAAGCCAGGAGGAAGCACAGCAGCACAGGATGCAGCACTCTTAAGCAGTGTGCCCGTCTCTTCCTGTAGCCATAACTGGAGGTGAGCAAACCCCTTGCATTTCATCCCTTTGCCCCTTCTTAGTGAGGTGGGGAAGGTGAGAAGCAGACTGCTGCACATGGTTTTGGTGAGCAGATGCTCCTTAGGTCCTCCTTCCTCTTCTTTTGGAGCTGGCCGCCGTCCAGGCCAGAAATCCAAAATCTCTAGATATTGTGCATCTGTTCCTGCAGCTGGGAAAAGGGTAGTGGTGGTGGTCAGAAACCTTTAGGAAGTTGTGAAGTATCCATACATGCGAGCTGTGGCGGTGCCTTTCCTCTGGTATCGGTGTCAGTGCTGGCTAAGGATGTGCTTGGCTTATCCAGGCTGGCTAAGGAAAATACCAGTTGGAGAGAGAATGCCCCTCCTCTCCTAGCTGGAGCTGTCTTAGAGGAGTATACCTAAATTGCCTGCCTTTGTCACCCCCTAAAGACCTGTGGGACCCTGATGTACAAACTCACCATGTAATCACTGAAGATATGTCCTACCTTTACCCTAGCAGAACCGTCTGTGAGCATGAAGTGACCTTTCCTCATCATCTGCTTATCCTTCAACATTTCTGATGAATTTATGTTACCAACCCCAGTTTCTGCTGTAGGTTTATCCAGCTGCATAACCTAATTTCATGTGTCTGTCCAAACCAATCCTTTAAGACTTGGATGCTGTAGAGCAGTGTGGGGGTGGGTGCTGGCAAAGTTCAGTGCCAAAATGCTTTTTCCTCATGGGAATTTTTAGGAAGCTGTTCACTTCTACCTCTATATGGTGAGTTGTGGACTACAAGGTTGCTGTCTTCTCCTGGTCTCATAATATCCTTGGTCTGAACAACCATGTTTATGTTGCCGCAGAGATTAAAGTGCCTCAGTAACCTTGGTCTCTGGAGGAGAGACTGCTGGTTAATCTTCATCCCAGACATGACAACAGCAGTGCTCGCACATCACTTGCTGCTTTCTTGTCTGTGCTCCTAAGTGGGGGAAGCTGGTGGCTGCCCTTAGCCACATGAAGCCCCAATCTGCAATAATGATGATAAGGCAAGGATGGTTCTCACCAGCTTTTCCATCCCAGACAACATCACTTGCTGTTTTTCTCTCTTGTCCATGCATGACCACTTGAAAGCAGCTCTAAACCTTGGATTTGCCCCCCCCGATCCTTGGATTTGTCCCACATAGGGCAACCACTGGTTGCTAATCATTGAGGCTGGGAGAAAGCAAACTAACTGGCTCTATCTGTGTCTTGTACTCTATACTGACTGCTGTAATCCAAAGGTTACAGTGCAGGATTAGTATGGGTGTACAAAGCCCTTCCTAATCTGTGAGTCATTACCCCATCACTGCATTTCACTCCCCAGCAGCTCTGGGCAGGCAGGATAGGTCGGCTCCTGAGTCTTCAGTTTCCCCATTCTTCTGTTTGGGGAGACTGGGTCAGGACATTACATCTGCTGGACATCCTCCCCAAGGCTCTGCTGCTGAGTTGCTCCTTGGATGCTGTACACAGGGCACGTCACAAGGTTTGTTTGCTCTAACCAGCTTCTCCTTGGCTACCCCTGAGCCCTTCTTTTTCATCAGTTCTCCTTTTTGGCTCTACCTATTGCTTTTCTTCTCTTTGGAACAGGAGGGATGCTCTGCACCCCCTGGAAATAAATTCTCTCTGGGTCAGGCTGGGCAGATGGGGATACCTGAGGGCTGCCGTACATGTCCATGCTTCATTAGTCCTTGTGTGTGAGGTACTTAGCCTGGCTGAGCTCTTGTCCTGCTGTAAGCTATGATATTAATATAATAGCTCAGAGCAAGAGCCCTGCAAGCTGCTCAACCATTGTGCCCTTGATCTGGAGAGTGGTGACTGTCTGGCCTTGCACTTCTCCTGGCAGCAGATGCTGGCAAGCATGGGGGCTGTGAGCCATTTATCCAGCAGCTCCTAACCTGCTCGAGTCAGGCTGCAGTGGACCCCTCCATGGACACCTCCAGACCTTGTCTGAGCAAAAGGCTGGAAGCCCTGTGCCCCTGCTCTGGGTCTGGGACGGGTGCTGTCAAGGAATGCTCTGACTGGGTTTTGTTTCATGTTTCCCTGCAAGGCGTGTGCCCAGGAGCAATCGCAATGGCAGCACCGGTCCCAGCTCGCCAGAGGTGAAACCTGGAGTCACTTGGTCCCATGTGAGTGCTGCTGCATGAGATCCTGTGCCCTCCCAGCTGCAGCCCCCTGACACTTGATGATACAGCGAGCCATGGGCAGTGTCCGAGTCAACCGGTGAGTAACCCTCCTCTCAAGGTTGCTGCTGCCCTGGGTGGCCTGGTCCTCCTTCTCTGGCCCCTCAGGTCCTACCTTCAGCCTGTTTTTCAGTATATTCTTCTCAAATTATCTGCCAGAGTATATTCTTGCTCCAAGGTATGGCTCCTGTCTCCTTCTCCAATCCAAAACATGCTGTACAGGGGGACAGTGCTCAAAGGAGTGCTACTGAGGAGAAGCAAAGCACTGCATGGTGCTGGACCAGAAATTACAGATTTCAGCAGTGCTGCAGAAGCCCCACGTCCCCAGGAAGCACAACCCCAGCCTTTAGTGCTTCTGTCACCATGAGATGAGGACATGGGTCACAAAACCCATGATGGAGGCCTCCAGCTGACATGTCCACGCTATGGATGGGAGGGAGACACTGCCAACCTGAGGGGTCCTGGGAGGCTGTGGCTCAGTGGTCATGAGGGCAGAGTGGTCTTGGTGGGTCAATGCACTTGCTTGATTTCCGTAGTGGTCAGAGCATCTTCTGCCATCATATCTTTAAGGAGTATCTGCAGCTATCCCAGTAGCATGAGAGAGAGAGCAGCAGTGCTGCCTGTGAGGGAGGGGAGTTGGAGGGGCAAATGTCTCCCAGAAAATGTGTGTGGAGCTTCTGTCAGGGAAACTGCCAGCACTTTGGCTGTTGATCTCCAAATTACACCTTTGGCTTCAGATGCAGGATGCTGGGAGCCACGCACGTTGCTGTGGCAACAGAATTGTCCTGAGCGCAGAAAGTGTATAAACATTGTCACCAATGCACCATGAAATCAGAGAGGAGAAAATAGAAACTCCAGGCCTTATATAATGTCAGGGCCAAAGTGTGGCCAGGCTGCGGGTGCTTGCTCCCGGGGTTCCTGGCGGTCCCAGCTGCTGTCAGGTTTCGAAGCCTTGGATCCCTCCTCGCCACAGAGGCTGTAAGGTAGCACAATGCTACAAGCTTCTGCTGCTCTGCTGCCCTGTCAGGACTTCCATAGAAACAACCTCCTGGCAGCAACACTTGGCAAATATTGCAGCCGAGCTCCACCAATTTGGTCAGGATGGCACCACGGTGCAATAACCAGGGAAACGTGCTGTTGTGATATTCAACACAGCGGTACCGTAGCCATGTGAGCCACCCACATGTCTCCCGCCCTCGCTGTCTCAGTGGTTGCTGTTATTCTTCATGTATTTCTGCTGGCAATGCCTGTTTTTTCTCTTTCAGGTACAGCATCGTCTCGACCGAAGAGGATGGACACAAGATCTCTGCACTGGGCAGCATGAATGGGCACAGCCGGAATGGGAAGGGCCATGCCCCCCGGCGGAAGCATCGCAACCGTTTTGTGAAGAAGAATGGCCAGTGCAATGTCTACTTTGCCAACCTGAGCAACAAGTCTCAGCGCTACATGGCCGACATCTTCACCACCTGTGTGGACACGCGCTGGCGGTACATGCTTATGATCTTCTCTGCTGCCTTCCTGGTCTCCTGGCTCTTCTTTGGCTTCCTCTTCTGGTGCATCGCTTTCTTCCATGGTGACCTCAATGCACCAGCAGTGGGAGGCAGTCCCTCTCTCCTCAAGCCCTGCATCATGCACGTGAACAGCTTCCTAGGGGCTTTTCTTTTCTCAGTGGAGACACAGACAACCATTGGGTATGGCTTCCGCTGCGTGACTGAGGAGTGCCCGCTGGCTATCATGGCAGTTGTGGTCCAGTCCATCGTGGGCTGTGTTATTGACTCCTTCATGATTGGCACTATCATGGCCAAGATGGCAAGGCCCAAGAAGAGGGCCCAGACTCTCCTCTTCAGTCACCATGCAGTCATCTCCGTGCGGGATGGCAAACTGTGCCTCATGTGGCGGGTGGGCAACCTGAGGAGGAGCCACATTGTGGAGGCCCATGTCAGAGCCCAGCTCATCAAGCCCTACATGACAGAGGAAGGGGAATATCTCCCACTGGACCAGCGGGACCTAAATGTGGGCTACGATGTGGGCCTTGATCGTATATTTTTGGTCTCACCTATTATTATCGTTCATGAGATTGACGAGGAGAGTCCACTTTATGGGATTGGCAAGGAGGAGCTGGAGACGGAGAACTTTGAGATTGTTGTTATCCTTGAAGGGATGGTGGAAGCCACAGCCATGACCACACAGGCACGAAGCTCTTACCTCGCCAGTGAAATCCTTTGGGGTCATCGTTTTGAACCAGTTGTGTTTGAGGAGAAGAACCACTACAAAGTGGATTATTCACGCTTTCACAAGACCTACGAGGTAGCTGGCACACCTTGCTGTTCAGCCCGGGAGCTGCAAGAAAGCAAGATGACTATCCTACCTTCTCCCCCACCTCCCAGTGCCTTCTG